AGCAATGATATGAAGAGTACAACAACATTTAGAATTTTTAGCACCGGCGACATGGTCGCTACCACAGACGAGATGAACCCGGTAGATGGATCACCGATCGTGCGTTTTATTTTGGCAATGTATAGTCTTTGCGTTCGTATAAAGAACAACACAGAATGGCCTAAATGACGCGCTTATGAAGCTTAGCCAGAAGCAATTGGTGATCACAGTCACCATGACAGACTTTTTATTGGCTACGCTTCATAAGCGCCGTTCATTATGGTTGTTATGCAACATTTGCTTACACTAACGAAAGGACAATAGCAACGGTCATTTGAAAATGACAATTCTTTGGAGAAGCTGATCTTAAGCTTTCTCCTTCAACTGCTGCCAAAATAAAACGCTACTACAACTTTCAAATTTCTACATATCTCACAAAATCAATCACAATTGCAAAATACAATAACAAACATTAGGTTTATAATTATCAAAAAGCCAAATCACAGTTCATAAAAGTTTTGCGATAGTACTGACTACCTATTAGCACCGTCCACAAGATGCTTTACAGAAAATTTTCATAAACTTACTCTCACTTTTGCATTCTCCTATCTTTGCCCAATAGCCACAAAACAGATTCTTGTCTTTACACTCCTCTTTATCGGGGAATTTTTCCTTTTCCTTCTCCTTGTTCTTTTTCCCTCCAGTTGGCCTTCCTTTTTCTTTTTCTTTTGTTTTCTCGTTTATGTTTGGCTTCGCTGTAGTTGCTATAAGAATGCAAATTTAGCTAATTCATAAACACTTTTTTAAAACAAGTATACTGGAAGTATCCTCGTCGCACATTCCACAAGATCTCCTACAGTAATGGGCCATATATTTTGTTGAGTGTTGACAATGTCCAAGCTGCTCCCACATTCCGCAGTGGGCATTCATATCTTCGCATCCTAAATATTGCATGATTTGTTTAAGCCCACTTTTACTGAGTAAAAGACTGTTTACTTTTCGCAATCCTAGGCGGTTCCCTTGTGGTTTTCGGCGCTTTCGTTGTTGTTGTTCTTTTACTAGTGACCGTACTCTTTGTCTTGGTTACCTACAACAGAGTTAATTCTTCATTCTTCCAGTATGATTCTTTCCATTATATTTGATATTTGTCCGTTCTTTCAAAAACTCTATGTTCTACAATTCGGAGAAATGGATCGCGTTGCAACATATGTAAAGCTTGTTTCGGTTGAATTGGCCTGAATGGGTCGCATATTGGAACGCCGCGAACACTGCAATATGCGACCTGTGACTCCGCAAGGGTCTTTACAACGCAGACTCCGGCCATTGGTCAAGTGATATGAGCCATGCTTCATAAAAATATATCGCTAGCAGAAAATGCCTTGCAAGTACTTCTGATGCTGCGCGAGGTGCTTGGCTTTACTACTATTCAATTTATACCAATGGAAATAGACCCACTTAATTTAAAAATAGCATAAACCCACCCTTTCCCGACTCGATTTAGTAGTTCCCTTGGTTGAGGGAACTTCTGTACTAGTGGTGGTTGTTGTAGTTGGTTCTTCTGTAGTGGTAGTAGTGGTAGTAGTGGTGGTAGTTGTTGTTGTGGATTTCAAGAATTCTCCGCATTGGTAGAGTTTGTTCACCTGAAGAATAGCCTGACTTACTGATTTTTGATTTTACTTCCAACGTTTACGCAATCAAATTACCTTTTTTGCATCAATCGTACTGAGTTTATAGCGTTGTCCAACTTCAGCTTTGCGATCCTTCGGTACAATAGTGGGTTTACCATTCCGCGAGAAAGCAAGTTTATGATAATGCATGACTGAATCGTAATCGTAGGGCATTCCTAGCGGATCGATGATTTTCCGTGGGTATTTCTCGAAATTTCTGATCATTCCTAGAACTTCGTTGTCACAAGAGAAATGTGAATCGCACATGATTCAGCATCTTGGAACCATGGACAAAAGTACGATAATGTCGGTTTCATGTTTATGGTCAAGCTGTGGGTATGACGGCAGCGCGTTGCTAACGTCTATGAAACGCAGCGCATTTCATCTGCCGCAGCAGTCCATCACTTAGGGTATCTCCATACTTCATAAGGACCGGCCGACAGATCGGCCG